ACACACACACACACACACACACACACACACACACACGCACACGCACACACATGCTGTGTATGTGAGGAACACAAGTGCTATGGCTGCATGATCTTGGCAACGGTAAGTTCATGAACTTCACGTACAAGGGTACGGTGGAGAGGTCTGTGATGGACAGTCGCACTTTTCTGGACGAGTGAGTGACAAGTTTGGCTTCCTTGAACGTGTGTCTGCTTATCGTTGTGCATGAAGAAGCTGGTTTGTGCTCTTGCTTTGTTGTTTTTTCTAAGCAAAAAGGATCCCCCTTGTCATCGTATGTTCTGATCAGTGCGCTGAATGGAAAGCAGTGCAATAGTATTCTGGTCCCTGCAAGTACCACTGGTTGGTTGGAGCAATCTGAGCTATTGGCTGCTGGTTGGAGCATTCTGAGCTATTGGCAATTGGCTATCTTATGGAATCCCAGCAGTACTCCTCCTATCTGGAGCCATTGCATCCCTACCATAGATGAAGTTATGATCTATGGTGATCCAGCAGATCCGTAGGAGCCATCGCTATGCTGCCGTAGGGTTGTTGGCCTGACACTGTTGGGATCCGCCGGAGTCATTCGATATCTTTAACAGGCTATATAAGACCATGGCCTCATTCTGATCGACGGTGGATCGACGGTGGCCAAGTAGTAGTGTGTACCTGCAGGATGGTTTTCTACTCTGATGTGTGATTCTTAGTACTTACTCATTGTTAGGGCATTCATTACTCGCACACGGACTATTTTGACGGAGTTTGTGTGGCAATTTGCTATTGCCGACAATTTGCTATTGCCCTGAGGAAGTGGTAGCGCGATCGACTGTCGACTATGTGCTTGGCGATTTGGTATTGCTGTCTGACATCAGATATCTATCTGCTCCATTGCAGGGTTTCACTCTCGGCAGTGCTTGCTTGTTGCCCCAGTCGCCTGAAAGCATGTGCTGTCTTTGCGTCACATCATACAAAAATCACGTACTTGGCATCTGACTGAGTGTCAGTTGGCTTGGCCCTCCCCTGTAGCTTGTCTTCTTCCTACCGTCCTTACCCGAATAGACGCCTGGTTCATTTAAAAAAAAAAAAAAAAAAAGAACGCCTGGTCCACGTACCTGTATTTGGGGCGACTTTCAGTCCAAATGCAGTGATAATGACCGGGCGCTCTTTTTGTGTGAAGATGGTAGAGCAGGAGAAAGGGGACTACTGTTTGCCAGTCAATCTGGAGGTCGAGGTTTTTTTTTTTTTTTTTTTTTTTTTTTTTTTTTTTTTTTTTTTTTTTTTTTTTTTTGTGTGTGTGTGTGTGTGTGTGTGTGCGTTCTTTCCAGGTGACCAGAGCGGCCCAGGACCCACTTGCCCACCCAGGGCCAAAAAGAAATAAAAATAAAGTGAAATAGAATTTAGTATTTACAAAGAAAACAATCTGTATTTTTTATTTTAATTTGGTAATTGACCCTGCAGCAGAAGTTATTCAGTTTATTTTTCTACATAACATAGTTTTTTTTCCCGGATTTTAAAATCATTCTTTGGATTTTTTCCCCCCCCTTTATACGGGGGTTTCGTGCATTTCCTGCTATTTCCTTCTTCATTTCCGGTTTTGTGCAATTCACAATTCTTCCTTGCTGCAATTTGCAAGTCTTTTATTATTTATTTCTGCTACTCTGCAGGATTTTTTTTTGTTTCCGAAGAAAAGAAAAATAAATAATTCCTTGTTTCTGAAGAAAAGAAAAATAAATAATTCCTTGTTTCTGAAGAAAAGAAAAATAAATAATTCCTGGCAAAAGCAATTGGGAATTAATTATAGAAACATTGAACGTACCCGGTAGGACCGCATGAGGCGGCTTTATACTAGATAGGAATAGAGAGTAGTAGGGCCTAGATTTGTATCTGGGACGCTGGACCCGTTTTCCAGCAGGTGATGCTCCCCACCAATAGATGGAGCCTCTCCCCGTGTGGTAGTGGTGTCTGCTCTTATCAGCACCACTATCACCGGCACGAGTGTTCTTTTTTTTTTTTTTTTTTTTTTAAAAAGGGCCTAGATTTTTTATTATTATTATTATTTTTTCACCCGGGGATTAAAAAAAAAAACTGTATGGCCTAAGATTAATTACCAGCAGTCAGTTAGATAAGCGCTAGGCGAGGCCAGCACTGCTCGAACATTGTCGGCAGACAAACAAATCGGGGGGGGGGGGATCTTGCGTGGCGCTTTGAAACGAAGAAATTCGGACCCGTGGGAAGAGGTGGTGTCGAAGATTGAAGTTAGGTGGACTAGAACAGATTTCGAGCGGGAAAAAGCGAAAAAGCGAGAAGTAAAGCGGCGGTACATTCGAAATTTGAATTGCCAGGTGTATTCGGACTAGAGCGCACATGTGAAGTGCCTGGGAATTCGCCAACTCACGAACAGTCCAGCACTTGAACAGAGCCGGCTAGGTGTGGATTGCGCGGCTACCGAGGTCCGACCTCGATCCAACGTAGCGACGTAGGATTGTTTGGCCAATCTGAGCGTGGAGATGCAATAGGGAGCAGGGAATGTGCAATGGAGGGGTCACAATAGTAAATGAGGGCAAGGCGACGTTGGCCGTCATTCGGTCGTAGGGGCGTAGGGATGCAAGGACTGGTGGGCCATAAGGCGCAGGGCAAGCGGCTATAGCCTCCTGATGAGACCGGAGCGCGCCCGGTTGAAATGTAGAGGAACGGATGCGCGTTTTTCCGAGCACGAGTACACGCTCGTTGCTTAAACCACCAGTACTTGGCCCAGCTATTGGTCGCGGAAAAAAATAGAGTAGAAACGTTTCTAGTTGGATGAATTTGGGCGCTCCTGTAGTGGCCCGTACGTTTCCTAAAATCGCGTAGCGTCAACGGGCAAGACTTTAGGAAGTACTGGTGTGGTTTATAATGTCTGAAATATCCTTCGAAGTGCGTGCGAAGAGCAATCGGCCATTCCTCGTCTTTCTCCTCCTTTTCCAGGTTTTTTTTTTTTTTTTTTTTTTTGTGTGTGTGTGTGTGTGCACTTTTTCCAGGTAACCAGAGTGTCCTAGGACCCACTTGCCCACCCAGGGCGAAAAAGAAATAAAAATGAACTGAAAATTCTGAAATAAAATTTCGTTCAATTTACAAAGAAAACAATCTGTTTTTTTTGTTTTTTTTTTTTTTTTTTGGGTAATTGACACTGCAGCAAAAGTTATTCAGTTTATTTTTCTAAGGAAAGTTTTTTTCCCCCGATTTTTAAATCGTTTCTTACTATTTTAGACTTTTTTTTCACCAACCCTTGGACGGCCAGGCTGCGCCTGAAACAAAGGTGCGACCCGGGCGGCGGAATCCGGTCACAGTACTGGAAGCCTTTACACATTTTTAGTTTTGTTTTTTAACTACTGTCATTATGATTCCTTCAATTCCATGTTTTTTTTTTTTTTTTTTTTTTTTTTTTTTTTTTTTTTTTTAATTCCATGTTCTATATATGACAGGTAATGTCAGGTATAGAATTGTGTTGCTCATTATGCTTTTGGGGAGGTATTGGGCCCTGCTTCATTACAGCATACTAAATGTGTCTGGACATGTTAAAGGTCTGATACATTCGAAATGTTTGGTCAGCGAGAATGTATCTGGCTAACACACTGTCCAGATTGTTCTCGAATGTTGAGTAGTGGAGCGAAGCCCACACTGTCTTTGTGAGTGTCTGTTATACACTGTTAGGAGATTCGAAAACTGCCCGTATATATATCAGAATGTTGAGTAGTGGAGCGAAGCCCATGCTGTCTTTGTGAGTGTCTGTTATACACTGTAAAATCAGGTGGCGTATCTGGCTCCTCGTCACCTCTTCTTCTTCTACTACTACTACTCTTCCCCTCCTCCGCCTACCCCTCCTCTTTCTTTCCCTGCCCCCCCTCCTCTCTTTCCCTGCCCCTCCTCTGTTTTATTTTTCATTTTTTCAGTGTGACGTTGAACTTGGAAAGCCGATCTTAATATAAATGCTTAATATAAATGCTTGGCTGTTGGTATGATGCAGATTTGGTTTCGTTTATTGATCGAGGTGTAATTAATTTGATTGAGGGCATGCGTGCCCTAGCGTTTTTGGAGATGCATACCGACTCCAATAACATCCCGGCATGGATGAATCTGACTCTAATCCACGTCCAGGGCTTCGTAGGGAAAGTCCTAGTGTGAGTATGCCTTGAGAATGTCGTGTGGTCCGCGCTGGATCTGCAGTTGTCATCGTTTGTCGATATGGAAACGGCATGGACGAATCTGACTGCAATCACGTCCAGATGGCATTAGCAACGGACCTACTGCGTCTCTTCGTCCTCCCCTCAACCGCCTAGGCTTCCTCTGTGTCCTCCTCCTCCTCTCTCCCCCTCTTCCTCTTCTTTTCTCCTCTTCACCCTCTTCTCTCCTCCGCGATCACCTCTCTTCTCCTCCTCCTCTTCCTCCTCCTCCTCCTCCCCTTCATCTCCTCCTCCATTTCCTCTCTTGGTCCCTCTCAGCCTCGTCTCCTCCTCGTCGTTCTCCTTCTCCGCAGCACCGTCCCCTTTCCCTTCTGCACCCCCTCCTCCCGATATTCTACCACCTGTCCTCGTAGTCCTCCCCCTCGTCCTCTTCTTCTTCTCCTTGGTCATCTCCCCTTCATCTTCTTCTCCTCCTTTGCCGCCCCTCCTTCCCCCTCCTTCCACCCGTCATTTTCTTCCTGTCCCCCACATCCACCGTCTTCCTCTTCCACCTCGTTGCCATCCCTTTCATCT